GTTGCTTGCCTCCTCTTCATTGCCCGGCACGCGGCGCAGGCGCAGCCAGCCCTCCTCGACGTGGTCCTGGGGCCATCTGTCGACCTGCCAGCGCGGTCACTCAAGGCCCCCGACGCCGAGCGACCTGACGACCTGCGCCCGCTGCGGCCCCCCACCTGCGCGCGCCGTCTGTTCGGCGTTTCCTTGGCCGATGTGCCGGGGCCTGGTCGAACCGCAGCTGTCGCAGGACCAAGCGGCCAGAAGAGGTGGCCAGTGCGGCCCTAACATTCGCGCTGCCGCGGACCACCTGGCCACGGCCGCGGCCAGGCATGGGTCTTCCGGGGCCTCTGCGCGCGGCGTGGCCCCCACCCCGCCCGCGCCCGCAATTCTGCTCGCTGGCCAGAACTTTAAGCCTTCGGGAGGCTGCGCTTCCAGCGGCGAGCAGCTCTCCTGCGGCGCTGGCGTTTGCCAAGCTGGCTGCTGCGCGCCTTGCGTGCGCTAGTCGCATGTCGCAAGGCCCAGACGCGCAAAGGGAAGTGCACTGGACCGCGGCGCGCGCTCCTGAACTCAATTGGCATGGTGGCATTGCGCCGCCCCTTCTCTGGCGCATGGCGTGCGATCCCGCGGTAGAGGCCACCGCTGCCGCGGCATCTGGCTGGTGCCCCACCTACAGCGCGCCTTGCGGGCAACGGCGCTGCTTCCCCGGGCATCATGCGCAGCTGGGCCACTTGTTGCCTCGCGCGCGCGGAGGGGGCCTCGCCTGGCTAGCATAATTCCGGCCGCGCCGCAGGAAGCGCGCGGCGCGCCGGATCAGGGGGCGCGCGCGCGCTGCTGCCCCCCCCCGACCTGGCCCCAGGCTTTTTTGCGCGCGACCTCGGCCAGGCGGTCGCTTCAGGAGCTTGGCGATGGCATGAGGACGGCCGTTGTTCCTTCGAGACGGCCCTGGGTCCTGGCGCGCCCCGCGACTGGGTCCGGGCGCGTTTTCTTTCGGGCCGCGTGCGTTTTGGCCCAGTGGCCGTGCCTGGGAGTGATCGTCTCGGCGCGACGCGAAAGGGGGCCGCGCGCCACTGCGCGGGCAGGTTAGCTCGGAGTGCCCGGGCGCTTGCGCGCGGGCATCCTGGGAAAAGGCTGCAACCGCGACGAGAGCGAGGGCACTAACGCCGCGCGAGGCTCGAGCGTCTCCAGCCAGACGGGCAGCAGCTTGGAACGCCTACGTCGCCCCCCCGATCCCCTGCCCGGCGCGCTGCATCGCGCCGGCGCCGGCTATTGAGCGCGCCAGGGCGGCTCGCCTACGGGTGGCCATTGGGATCACTGGCACCGCGTGGGCGCCCGCTTTCGTCCTCGCTGGAATTGGGCCCACCGCCTTCCCAAGTCCCCAGCGGGCCGCGCTGCCCTGCCGCCGCAGCGTGGGCGATGGCAGCTCTGGCCCGCGCCGCAGCGGCAGGGCGTCTGGGGGCCCATCCCCGGCCGCAGACGGGCCGAGATGAGGCGCGAGCTGGTCAGGCGGGCCGCCTCCCAGCAGCCCCCGCGCGCCCCACCTCGCCCGCGAACGCGCGCCCTCGCCCTGCCGCCGTCATGCGGGCGCGCGCGCCCCAGCTGGGCAACCCGCGCTGGCCTCGCTTCAGCCGGGCTTTCTACGCGGCAGCCTGGGCTCAGCAGCATAGCGCTGGCTGAGGTGGCCCCCTTGCCCGCGAGTCTCCGCGCGCGACGCCGACTCTCGGTGGGGCGCGCGTTTCTGTCGCGCGCGCTGGCAGCGCCGGCGAAAACCCGCGCGCCAATCATAGCCTGGGCGCCTGGACAGAAGCGGCTGTAGATTGGCCCCCTCCCCCGACCAGGATCGGCGCAGTGGCCGATGGTAGTGGCCTTCGACGGGGGCGCTTGATCCGTCGGCGACCAGGACAAGGTGGCGGGCGCTGGCGCCGCGCAGCGGCGTCGCCCAGCGGGCGGCGGACCGCCCGCGCGGCGCGCCTCCTGCGTCGACGCCGCGCCTGAATCAAACAAGTCGCAGCTGGCCGAAGCCGCGGGGTGTCGCGCTGGGCCCGGCATGCTGGGCGGCCGCCCCCCCGCGCCCGAGGGGCCTGGATTGTCGGGGGCAGCCTTGCCGCCGCGCGGTGCGGGGCTGGAACGGGGCGGTGCCGGCGCCGGCCTCTCGCGGCGCAGATGGATGGAACGGGGCCGAAGGAGGCCGGGCACTCGCGGGGCAGGCAGCTAGACGACGCCTCGGCAAGGCGAGCGTTCAGCGACGCGAGGTGTTTTCTGGGCCGACCAGCTGCGGCAGACAGGGGGCCTGCTTGTCCGCCCCTGGACAGCGCGGCACGCGCAAGACGCCCGTTCTCACCCGCCCTTCCTGGCCAGCTCCCCCTGCGTGGACTGCAGCTGTCTCGGCCGCGGCGAATTTGACGCGAGGGTGGAAACGTTAGAGACGAGCGGGGAGCAGACTTCCATTGGCCTCGTCCACTGGGGAGACGTCGATCTGGCAAAGCGCTTCAACAGCTGGCGAGCAGGGCGCAGGGCGCTCGCA